CGAGCGAGCGAGCGAGCGAGCGAGATTTCCGCTCGCCTTCATCTCGGCCAGCCAGTTGGTGAAGGTCCGGACCTCGGCGACGCGGCGACACGACCTGCATGAGCCCTTTTGCGCGAGGTCGCGTTCGCATCCTCAGAGGCTGCCGCTGTGGGATCATGCTCCGCCTCTCGAGGATTAGCAAGGCAACGCGGATCTGGGGGGGGGGGTCCCTTCTGTGGGGTTTCTGACTGTACACTGCTACAAACTTGCACCTGGCCGCTTGCCAGCTGCGTGTAGACTGAAGTGACGCAAGTGACAAGAGACACGAGAGTGACAACAAGGCAAGGAGAGACACATCCCGTTAGTTCCGACAGAGATGAACAGAGAGATCCCGCGCGAGCCCCACACGAACAGGAGGTCACCCACTGGCTCCACGATACAAAGCGTATGGCCTCTGCCTTCGCATTCATGTCACCTTCCAGGCAAAACGTCATGCCATGATGTGCCACATCCCATGCCCCATGCAGCCATGTCCGGGGCTTCAACTCAGCTTGCCAGGAACGGATCGTCAAAAAAAGCGATTTGCAACTCTGACTTGGAAGACAACATCGACTTGTTCTTCTGATGTTGTGCTCCACACATGCTCGTGTCGCCCAGCTATCCATGATCTGCTTGAAGGCAGAAACGGTGTCGAAGGAAGTGGGCACTCTCAGCAAGAAGAAAGGAAGTTCGATGAACAGATTGTCATCCTGGAAGATCGCAGCTCGCCTTTTTCATGCATTTTACATGCACCTTCAGGCCCTTCTCGCTGGGCCTCTTCTGGGCCGCGCGACTGGCAGTCTCCCATGCGACACCAAGGGGAGAACTCTGTCTCCAACGCCGGGCCACCCGCCATCCCGCCTGAGCCGAACCGCACAGCGCATCGCTATCCATTCCGCCGATTTAGGTGTCCGGCCAGAAAGCTGACCGCGCATGGCACGCAGCAGGCCCACAAGCTCTGAGGAATCAGTCTTCATACCGGTCATACCTCACGAGCACTGCGTTCAGCCGGGCAAATCCTCAAAAAAGGATGACTACGTTGTGCTGTCATGCTCCAAGCCGCTGATCATCCTCGTCGGCCGGAGTGAAAAAGTTGTCTTTCCAGATCCTGCAAGTGTTGTCCTGCCGGCGGAGACTTTCACCGCAACGAACAAGGGCCATTCGAAGGTGGTGTCCTTGGACCCAGTGATGACGGTGTCGCCTTCGTAGTTGAAAGCACACGAGAAGATTTCATCGCTGTGTCCTTCCAAGACCTTTGCACAAGCTCGCAGGAGTCTGATGAAAACGCGCACACTCAGCACACACTTCGCATACATCCACAGAATCGCAGAAATCCCGAAAAGCTCATGGAATGGCCTGCAGGCACTCGCCAGTCTCGACAGACCACAAGCGGCAGGTGCGATCCTAATGAGATGGATGGTCATGCACTGGCTGATTGACGGGCTGTTGAGTCTCACACACTGGATGCCGTGATGATCTTGTATCCATTTGGGCTAAACTGAACCTGATGCCAAGTTGGCATAGCACAATTACGAGCAACCCATGCTGCAACGAGCTGGGTTTCGGCACCTTGGAGATTTCGCCCTCATGGCCTATCAAGATAGATATGCAAGCGCCGGTCATGACCTTCAGGCAACGTCTGCGCTGCGCTTCTCCGCTGTCACTGCGTTTCACTGCGTTTCACTGCAAACTGCCCGCACCGGTCGGGGTTCGAACGTTGTAAACCCGAGCCGTGCAATCCGCAGATGCAGTGACGAGGCCTTTAAGCGGCCAAGTGCGCCACGTCGAAGAGCGAGCGTCAACCGAGCAGCGTCAACTGCATTCCACTGCAATGGCTCCGCTTGGCCGCCCGCGATTGCCAGTTGTGTTAAAGCACACATCCAGGACCTACACTTCGAGGTCGGCATGGGCGCGCTCTGCGGTGTTAGACCGTGGTCGAAAGCGGTCTGTGCCTCATCTGAGTGGCCTCGCATGGTCTCCATGCACTGCCCGTTGTTGACGTCCCAGAGCTTGCAAGTGCGATCCTCATACAAACCGCGCATACGGCGCATTTCGTGGTCGCTGAGACATGCGAGACATGACAACAACTGAGATGCTGGCAATACTTCCAGTGATGCAGTAATCTCCCGTGAAGTCAAACTGAGGCACAGAAGCTGAATGGCATTCGTGCGGAAAGCTTCAAATCAGACATGGCCAGCCTGCGTCGAGGAGATTTCCCCGCGGTGGCCAGCAAGAGTGTGCACACACCGCCCACTGCAAAGGCAAGTGAAGGGAACATGTCTGTTTATGCGGTGGCATGCTTTCTCCACTTCCGCAAGATCTCACACAAGCCGTGGAACCAGGCCTCCGCACATCCCAAACCTGGCACGTAGCAAAAGTTGCAAAGCTGCGACAGAAGGCACGGCCAGACATGTCTGGTCTGGCCTTCGCGGTGTTGTCAAAGGAACCGGTGAGAATTTTGTCCCCGTCGGTGTTGAAATTCAGTGAAACTATTTCGGCCTGCAAGCTTGCAGCTCGTGTGACTCCTAGGCACTAGGCTTGGCAAGTCTCGGGCAGAGTGACCATCCAGAGAAGCGATCTGATGGCCGGTCTCCACCTGAGCTCGGGTCGCTTTTGGCCTCCGATGCTGACTCGGCCGAGGCCAAGGCATCCCAGAGCTTTGCTGTGTTGTCCATGCTGCCGGTCGCAACATGCGTGCCCTGCAGCCAAAACCAATTCGCGCAGGCTTGAGACGCTAGCGCACGGGCCTGTACATTGAAGGCAACACAGACAATCTCGGTGTGGTGGCCCTTGAGAGTGTGAATGCACCTCAGCTGAGGCGAGTGTTTGTTCTTCTCGTTTGCTTTCCTCTTTGGGCTCCAGCTGCCCTGTGTTGGCATCCCAGAGCTTCGCGGTCTTGTCAAAGCTGCCGGTGACGATCTGCCGCACATACGGGCAGGGAAGTCAGGGAAGGAAGCTCTTCGAGTCACTTCGAAGCGTTTGTGTGTTCTGTCCCAGGGCCGGGGCTTTGTCACCAAAGGGATTGTTGAAAGCAATGGCATACACCACGTTCCTCAGAGCGAGCTGGAAGAGGGTTGCAGCAACAGGAGCGCCGAAGAAGTCGAGGGAGGCGCTTGTGCCCGTCCAGCGTCAGGAGCTCTTCGCCGCTCTGAAGCATGAACAAAAACTGAAGAAGGGAATGCCAGCATCGGCACTTCGGCAACAGATCTCAGGCTCGGGCCAGCGTGTCCCAAACTCTGCATGTTCGGTCGTAGGAGCCGGTGATGAACTTCGACCCGGACCTCAGCTCTCTGTCTCCTTGGCGTGCTGCTTTGCAGGATGCTGCTCCAAGCCGCTTGTTGAAGGCACAGTTCGTCAAGGGCAGAATGTGGGCTCTAAGAATCTTGAACAGATAGAACCGCTGTGAGTCCTGTCAGGAACAGTGTCGGAGAATTGATATGCACCAGTGTCGTTGCGAATCACCTTGTTGTCAATCTTTTCCATGAGCTTGTAGATCATCTTTCGAAGAGTGTCCTGAGTGCGAGCGTCGTGGCTGCTGCCGGCACAGCACTCTCTTCGGACTCTTCGTCCTTCTTGTTTTCGGAGATCAAGGGCTCCTCGAAGACTATTTGGTTGATGAGGACCTGGCGCAGGGGGGCCGGGGGCGCTCCGTGGCTCCGAAAGCGCTCAGGCTTGGCCCAAGCGCCGGCTTTTTGTCACCTCCACGTCGGTCTCGGGTGTGAGGTTCAGGAGGTCGATGGACTGACAGGCTCAGAGTCTCTCAGAGCCTCTCAGAGTCTCTCAGCTCTTCAAAGCTCCTTCGTCTCGACATCTCCATTTCTCCGCTGGTACTCCAGAACCTCTCGGCGCAGCTCATTTTTGGGAGGTGCGGGTTCCACGCATCTCTAGGGCAGCTGCGATTCCAGGAGGGAAATATCTCAGAAGGAAGCGCTTGAGCTTCATGACCTTCTGCGCAAACAAGCCGACAAAATTAACTGCATGCAAGAGCAAGGCAGCTCAATGAGGTCATCACTGGCTGGTGGCCAGGCCCCCTGCTACACCCCTCAACCCCCACTGTGACAGACAAACCACACTGTACAGACTAGGCAAGCCGAAATTGCGCGGCAAAACACCAGCCAGTAGCCCATTTCAAGGATTGTGCAGATCTCAGAACAAGTCTGCGCAAACTTGTTACAGTAGTTACCCTTTCTGCGGCAGCCATGGGTCAGCTACGGCTTGCATTTTGCAAGCTGCTCAGATTATGCTGCTTGTGGGTTGGCTCCTTTGTCCAATCCTGGCCCAGTCTCGCAGAGGTTTGCAAAGCGCACTGCGTGAATGGCAAGACTTCATGCTCTGTCCTGAGCCGAGTTCCAGCATCTGAAGACCCGCACACCTTGGATGCTCATGGACTGCTGAGGCATATCATGACCGAAACTGAAGCAGATGAATGTCGTATGCTTCTCACGCGTCGCGCGTTCAATGTCGTCCTGCACGCAGTGGTCACAGTGGTCGCTAAATCGCGGTAGTCGCGGTCGTCGTGGTGGTCAAGGTGGTCGCGGTCGTCACAGTGGTCACGGGGTGCATGCTGGTCGTGGTGGGTCATGGTGGTCGTGCTGGTCGTGGTGATCGTGGTCGTTGTCGCGCTTGCGATCACCAGTCGCAGTCGTGGTCGTGGTCGGGTCGTGGTCGTAGCACCCATACAGTTACAGGGATTGAGAACGAAGCGGACTTGTAGGACAGATCATTCGATCGTGATGAGCCAAACATTCAGGAAAGCGTGTCTTGGCCCCAAACCCCTGAGCCCACCAACACTGCGACTCTACGTGGAAACCGGAAGACACTGCTAAGAAATCGACTGGGAAGGCGATTCACATCCGGGAGTCGACGGTGGCGTTTGGATGCCACTGAGCACCTGCCAGATACGCTACGTCGCTATGGCAGCTCCATCTTGGGATCCGTGGAATGTACATTTGGTTGGTCATGGCGCGAGGCATCCAAGGTAGGGGCCCGTTGCCCTTGCTACTCTCGAGCTCCATGGAGTATAAGAAAGAGTTCGAGGGAAATCTAGACCGGAAGCCCGATACTACCGGAAGCTTTTATTACAAAAAAGTTGACACTACAACCGGGCCCTGTTTCAACCGAAAAAGTACCGAATAGAATTGGGAATCTTTTTTGTAAATTCTGATTTTTCGGGCTGCGCTGCATGTTTAAACATCTACTTTATAGGCCCATAGGAGCTTGAATGGAACTGCTAAACACAATGTAGGACTTTACAACACATCTACAAAAAACCGCCTCGGCCCCAGCCGAAGCGGTCAGAGGTTCGTACAGGGATTCCCTGTATTGAAAAACAACAAGTCGCTTTGCCTTTGCCTCGGAACATACCACACATTGGGGCCTGGTATGTGTAACACGCCCCCTCAGTTGGCTATTCTTTTCCAAGAATGCCAGTTGAACTCAAAAATCACGGACCCAGGCCCGAAAACCGATGCTTCACGGTAGGCACCCACTGGTCTGCGTAGCATTGGTTGCAAGCAACCCTTGCCGTTCTGTATGGCCGCTCGAGCAGTTGTGGACCGAAGGTTCTTGGCATGCCGAAGATTTCCGCACCTACGACGGCGGTACACGTACCGAAACTCAATAAGCCATACAGTGTCCCCGAGCTCTCGTTCACACAGGCGCTGCACAGCACACTCACACGACTCTCAGCTTTTGTTGCGGCGTAGGAACAGGTCACCTTTGCCGGAGAGGGTGGTACCAGGCCGCCTTTCTGGAAGGCCTGGTGGTGCTGGCTTGGTGCCAGGCCCCCGCTGCTGGTACCAGGCCACCTCTGCCAGAGGGGTCTGGTACCACGCCACCTGGTGTGCTCGATCTGCTGCGTGTGCTCGGTATGCACCGCTGTGCTAACGCAAAAAGCTCCAAAGCTGCGACCCGAGGCCGCAAAACTCAAGCTCCACCTGCTCGTCACGAGGAGGTAGATCATGATGATCATCACCAAGAACACAGGATTGGCATAGACCATCTCCACCAAAGAAAATCGCCTCGAGGATGGTCATTGTCTCCGCGATCTCGGGGCTCGCCGGGTTGGCGTGGCACCCTTGCATCGTCATCACCATCAAAGCTTGAACCACTCGAACCATAAGATTACCGCCTGAGCGACCAAGGATCGCTCGCCCCATAGCTTCAGCGTGCTCCTCCAATGGGGTATCCATGATCATCCACCATCCCGGTAAGGAAGCACAGCATACGTAGGAGGCGCTGCTGAAAGGTTTTTCGTCCCCATGTCACTCGGGTTGAGCTGGGTCGGGACGGTCGCTACGCATAGGAGCTTTTCAGCGACCCATTGCTGGATCCAAAAGCAACTGGTCTGCAAGTGTGGGACTGGGCCAACGCCCAAACGGCTCGCAACGGCCTGGCCAGAGACGAGGCGCGCCTCATCACTCGGACTTCTCGCGCTGCACAAGGATCGCCTCACTGGTGGTCTGGGTCAAGACTACCAACGCAGCCCCTCCGGAATTCAAAGTGACCACCTTTTGACCTCACGAATCTGTATATGAGCACGTGGTCGATGTAAATATGGCCGCTGCTCAGGCTTCTCCTCGTTTGTTTGTCGTTGGCGAAGTTCGAATCGGAGTAGCCTTTGGACAAAGCGAGCATCAACCTTCCCACGAAGGGACGATTTGGAACTGGGAGTGTTGCAGCGACTCCTCATGAGCTCAACATCGAGTTTTGTTTGCTAGGGCCTTGCCCAGAGTGCTTTGCTTTGGAAACTTTACAGCAGAACAAGACAACCCGACGTGCCAGACATTTGGAGGTCAGCGGAGGTCCAAACCAACTCGGCCACACCATAGCCTTTCAGGATCCACGGGTTGAGGTGGCGTGGAACCTTTCCGGAATGAGTTAGAGGCTAAGGCATCGAGACAGTCGGCTGGCAAGATGTGCATTGGAAGACTTCGTAATCCTTGTCGCAATAATCAATGGCTGGCCCAGGTGGTGTCTGCAGGCACGCATCTCCGAGAAATCATTTAGGGACACGTTCCTGGGTTGCAGAACCAGATCCTGCGAATGGTGTGCATGTTCGGTTGTTCCGGGTAGCCAGGCTAGGGCTTGCAGATGTGTCGAGAGTTTTAACTGCCAGCTGCACTGCTGAGCTGCGGTCGAACAATTGTCGAATTCCTGCTGGGATTCTTTCAACCATGGCATCTTTCGCCTCGCCGACAATTCAGTCGGCGCGGCCGCGGCCGAAGATGATTTCGCGGCCGGCAAGTATAACCTGGAAGGATCTTCCAACTTCATCGAGAAATTCGTAAGCGCCGGACATGTCAACGTAGCGCATTCACTTTAGAAAGCTGAAGCATATTTGGGGCGAGGCCCAGGAATTTCAACACTGGCCATGAACACAAAATAAGTGTACAACGAATCGTGCGACCTGATTCGAACAAAAACGTCGGCGGATTCTTGATTGCCTGAGGCCTGGTGTCAATGAGCGGTCATGCAGGACCAATGGGATTGTCTTACCACGACTGCTTGACCCTTGCAACGGCATGTTAGCGAAGTCGGGCTTCAAGCACGCTGTGGTCCGGTTGTTTGTGATTGACATCACTGATGCGTTTTGGCTCTTACCTTTACAGCGTCATGAAGGCAAATTCTCTTACACCAAGTTTCAGGCCAAACATATCATCTACGAACGATGACCGCCAGGTTCCTAGAATGCTCCTTTGGCTTGGTGCAAGCTCATGGCGCTGACAACAACAACAACAACAACGAATAACTTTCGATATTTTCAATGTGGTCCTTTTTCAACTCCAAACAGTTGCTGATGATCCATTGACTACGGTAAGCAGCGCTCAGGAATCCACGGATGAACTATTGCAGCATTCATCCTATCTTGGATGATCCTTGGCATGAAGCTTGCATTGCCCAAAGTTCAATCAAGCCACGCCGTTGTCTGGATCACCGCTCGCCGGTCCGTCCAAGTCGTGCAGAACAGCCAAGCTTATCCCATTGAGGCGTCTGTAGTCCTTCGCGGGGAAGTGCTCTCACATTGTGTCTTTCATTCCTGTGTGGCGTCGCTTCTTGCGGAAGTTGTGGGCCATCTCGCAAGCAGGTCTTGACACCAGCGCCCCGCTCCCTTTGCTCCTTTGCCCCGGATTTAGGGGAATCCACCGGTAGGATTTGGGACCTACTCAAACCAATGTGGTTGGTAGACAAGCAGTTGCTGCACTGATGTACGCAATTGGAATCCGTAGCACAACGGCCGTTCTTTTCTACCTTCCCCAGCATTGTAAGTAACCAAACTCCGCGCCGATTGGTGCAATCGGTAACACCGTCTGATTTTTCATCTGGCCTAAGCTTTGCCCCCTGGTGTGTTGAACTTCTCTGGCTCCGCCCTCCGATCAACGTCACCATCGACCATCGATGAATGCGCTGGATGCTGCCCTCTTACTTAGCATGAGAATGCAAAGATCTTCCGGTTCATTTTTCCAGGAACGGACACAATCAACCAACAGCCGCCTGGGGCATACAAGGGTCGCACTCATGAGCCATGCCGGCTGTGGTTGCCGGCCGGTGCTCCTCTGCCGCTAGATGCCTCTGTTCCGCGTTTGACCCTGCAGGAGCGCCCCAGCCCGCCTGTCCGACTTGATTTGCCGTTGGCAGCGTTCTGGTCGTCGGAGTTTCTGTTGTGGGCGCTGGCAAGGTCCACGAAGCAATCACAGCGGAATAATCGTCTTTCCAAAGAACGCCAATGTAATGTACAGGCGAGGTGCCCTCAACTCCACGATGATTAAAGAGGGAGTTTCTAACCTCCCGTCCCAAGCCTACAAAGCTGCATCATGCAGAGCATTCATGCCAGCAAGTGCAGTGTCCCAAAGCTCCATAGCAGGCTGTGTGGCAGGCTGATGGATGATACAAGTTTCCGCCGCAATCACCACTGAACTGGGGCTTTTGAGCCGCCAGCTGCAAAATGTGAGACATCCACCACGCTTAGCTTACAACGTGCTAGCAAGATTCCTACTAAGGTGCAGTGGCCCCTTTTTGGTCGTAGCGCAGACAGCGCCCGGCCGGGCACACCGCCCCAAAACGCGGCGCCGGTGCCGGGGGACGGGCGAGTGCCGGCCGATAGTTTCAGATAAACCCAAAGCGGGTGGCGAGGGTGGGAAATCAAAAGGCGATTCGAGCCGAGTGCTTCGGCCGATCGCACTCGCGCGCATGAATGCGCTACGACGTGCTAGCCGCAGCCAAAATTCCTACGAAGGTGCAGTGGGTGACAGCACCTGCATGACCTCGTGGAGCGTCCAACCCTCAGCGCGAGCTCTTGAGTCGTCGCCCGTGGGCCCGTGGAGACAGCGCCGGGGGACACGGTAAAAGTCGGGGCGACCAGTCGCGGTGCGCCGCCATGCCTCAAAACAATCAATGCCAGGGTGCCATTGACGAATTGCATGAAGGCGACCCAGTGTGGCGGCAACCTCCAAGCGAACGCGATGAGGCGCAAGACCTGGGCCAAGATCTCGAGGACGTCGAGGCGGGCGGCGAAGGGCGCGAGGTGCTCGGCCTTTATGACGCCGTAGTAGGACGAAGCCCCGCCACCGAGCCGTGCGTCCCCCCGAGCCAGACTCACTTCCGCTGGGTACGGAAGCGGGGGGCGATAACCGATCCTTTTGGAGGGGCTCGTCGATCTGGGACAGAATCCTCGACTGGTCTGAATCCTGAATGCCACCCCCAACAATGTGCCTTACTTAGACTCTGCGCCGTTAAAGTCGTCGGCCCCAGCATCTGCACAGCGTCCACCGCCCTTTAAAGTTCCAGACGCTGGCCCACCGCCCCAAAGCACAGCGAAATGAAACCGCAGACTCACGCCCTCGGCTGAAGGGAGAAAGGTGCCGCGGTGGGCGGGGTGCCTCACCGCGCACTGGCGATAGGCATTCTGTAGGTCATGTCCGAAAACGGTCGCTCCAACCTTCCGCCCAAGCCCGGCGCACCATGTCGACCGAGGAAGTTGTGCGTAGGCACGTCGGACGCGCCCATGGTGGAGTTGTGGCCAGAGCGACGCCAGTCCTCGCCCGCCACAGCTTGAGCTCCCGAAGTGCTCGTCGGTCTAGCAAAGGGCGAAGGATGCGAAGGAGTCGCCCGCAGGCTGTTGCAGAAGCAACCGCATGTCGGCGACATAGGCGGCAATCCAACCCAACCATGCATACCGCCCGTCGGTGCGGGTCTTCCCGCCGGGGGCGCCCCGACCCCACCCAGCATACGGAACCCTTTGTTGATGTCCTTCGCCAGGTCCCTAACCGTGGGGTACAGTCCATCGTCAGGCGCCACATCGACGTGCGGCTGGGCAGGCGTCGAAGTCGGCGAAGTCTGACATGACTGACGAGAGGAGACGGGCGAAGGAGAAATCAAAAAGGCGACTCGAGCCGAGTGCTTCGGCCGATCGCACTCGCCTGTTCCTAGGCGCGTGAATGCGCTACACAAACTGGTGGTCTTGCGGGGGTCTCGCGGTCTCCTCGTGATTTCTTCATGGCCTTCTGTGGTCTCCTGGTGGTCTTCTCGTGGTCTCCTGGTTGTCGTGGTCGTCCTGGACGCAGTGGTGTGCTCCTGGTGGTGGTCGTGGGTTTCATGGTTGCCATGGTCGTCGGTGCTTATTTGAGTGCCAAGGAGTTTGCAAAGGAGGGGATCCTTTTGTTGAGAAAGGTGCCCCAAAAAAATGAGAGCCGAAGACCCCGATCACGCTGCTCTTCAAAGACCGCTCAAGGCACCTCAGGCTCACCCTGCTCCTTGTCGAGCAACCCTTCTGGCAACGGGAAAGCAATAATCTTCCCGGACCTCAGAGTAGCACTTGGCATGTGTCTTAAACCTCAGAAATTTGCAAGAGTGCATTGCAATGCTCAGTAGACTTACTTTTCAGCTGGCACGGAGTACTCGAACCCCCCACTGCTATGGACTTCTCAGCATGAATTCTGCGAGACGTTCAGTCCCCAAGGTTCCAGCTCACAGCCCACAAGCAAAGAGTTGTTCCTTCGAGTCATGAAGCACTGCAAGCTTGAACGGCCTTTGACGAAAACATGTTAAGCCTGAGTCACTGGCAAGCTGACGTAGCTCAAAGTTCTGAATTCCTCTGGCTGCTCGTAAGTTCGAAGAAGCTTTGCCTGCATTGCACAACATCAACGGTGACGCGATGACCCTGCTGGCGCCTCCACACTTCCAAGCTGCGGGTCCCAGAACGCCACGCGGCCATCACCTCCGCACCTTTGCAGTCTATCCGCTCTCCATGACAGTTTGACCAACAGTTGCGAATGACATTCTTGGACGGAAGCGAAGCGATGATGCCAGTGTCAGGAATTACTGCGAGTGCCTTCCACAACACTGGGACAAGCAAGTCTGCTGTCTTTGGCACGAAAGCGGCAGCCTGGACTGGGACATCATGAAGTCGAACGATCTGGCATGTGTCTACTTGTTTAACACCACATGCAACTTGTTTCACGAAAAGCAACGTTTCCGGGTTCCTTCATCTGACGCCCATGGGTACACTCCCAAATTCGAATGCTGCAATCTGCAGAACCTGCACGAGCTGCAGACATGCATGCACGCATGGAGATTCTCATTTGTTTCATCTGAGGAGGCCTGAATACAAAAAATGACCATCTGTGGCGAAAGATGTCACGGCATCCTGCAAACTTTAGAGCAAAGGCAGACACACACACACACACACCTGCGTACTGTATCTGTGTTTCTATATCTATATAAGTATCAATATCTATAACTGCAACCATATCTCTGAAACTAGTAACTACATCTACATCTGTCCTCTCTCTCTCTCTCTCTCTCTCTCTCTCTCTCTCTCTCTCTTACTCTCTATCTATCTCACTCTATCTCTTTCTGTTTCTCTCTCTATCTCTCTCTCTCTACCTGTCATTCATCCATCCATCTATATCTCTCCCTGAAGAGAGGGAGGAAGGGAGCGAGGGGAGGGGAGGGAGGATATACATGTATACCTCTATACATACATACATACATACATACATACATACGTATATACGTATATACGTATATACGTATATACGTATATGCACATATACATACGGACGTACAGACACACAGACATACGACATACAGACATACAGACATACAGACAGACAGACAGACAGACAGACAGACAGACAGACATACAGACAGACATACATACATGCATTGCGTATGTATGTATTAAGTGTAAAAAGCACAGATATGCTGCATACACATCACGCACACACACACAGAGATGCATGATGGGCACATTTCCTTGGGCGACCGGCGATAGCATTAGGATACTCGCTCTCGAAGTTCTCTCAAGAGCAGGAGCAAAAGATAGCTTTCTGGCAGCAGCAAGAACAGGATCTCGGAGACGTGCTCGCAGACATGTAGCAGGCTCCTCGTGTCCGATCAGATCAGCCTCAAGCCGTGCAAGAAAACAGAGCTATGGAGCAATCTTGCTCGAAGGTGCCTCCGATGCCTTGCCACCCCAAACGGTCCATTGCCTTGCACAAGTTGCAAGAGGAAAGAAGCTGAAAGATCTGCAAGTGATTGCAAGTGCACGCAGTCCAGCTGCCTGATAACGCCCTCGTTTCCGCCGGAGAAAATGGATCCAAAGGGGCTGTGTCCCAAAGCCAGGATCTCATCGGTGGCGTCCTGAAAGAGCGACAGTGGGAGGGGAAGTCTTCACCTCATGGAGTAATTCTGACGGCTCGGGAAGTGTGATCGCTAGGAAGTCTTCAAAAAGAGCTCCGCCGGCTCCCGCCAAAAGCTGCGCTCCTCGTGGGCGAGGAAGACGCGCTCAAACTTGGCCATGGCCGTGCCTGCGCTTTTGGAAAAGAGCCTAAACCCATGAGAAGCTCTGCGGCTCTGCATCTCTTCCAAAAAAAGAGTTTGCTTTCACCGCATGGGGTTTGTGTTTGCAAAAGACGCTGCAAGGAACCGTCGCTGGTCAGAGTCACCCGCCAGAAGGAAAGCTGCCGGTCGTAGGAACCCGCCACCACCAGTTCGAAGCCGGTTCCAGTCGGATCTTCGTGAGCAGACTCTCCTTGAACGTTCACGAGAATCAACGCACTGATGGTGTTCTCGTGCACCTTGGCATCTAGATACCTGAAGAAGACAGCTGCAGATAGCTCGTGAAACGGCGAGCTCGCAGAATCACTCTGAGCAAGAACAGCAACCAACGGCTGCCCCAGCAGTGCCCCATGTCGAATGTGCAAAATTGGGCTTTGAACGGGGAGCAAACTTGTGAAAGTTGTGCGGCTTCGGTGTACTTCGGATTTACAAGAGACATACTCGCTTAGGGCCCAGGGCTGCTAGCTGCTAGGGACTTCCTTGAACGGATGTCGAAGCTTCACAAGCTGACTTTAGCCGCGGCACCGGTTGCCCGGTGACCGTTTTCAAGCATGCTTCCTGATGGCCTCACGCAGCAAGAGCACAGAAAGGGAGATTTACGATCATTGTGCATGCGAGGCACAAATAATCTGTGACATACTACGTAAAGCCGCCCAGAATCTATCCAAGGACCACATCTTCAAGTCAGAGTTCTCGTGGCCGGTGATCACGACATTAGCTCGGGGAACATAAACCATGGCGGTGATCTCCTGTTTCCGTTCCTGAGTCGAACGAACCAAGATTGATACACGGCTCCTGGTGCTTCCGACTACAGTCACTGGAAGACGTTCCGGCCTTGAGGCACTTGATGCACTCCAGCGTGTCCTTGGCTCAAGAATAAGACTGCAGTCAGGTCAGCTTTTTGATCTCTCACCTGTAACGGCCAGGCAAGTACCCGCCTATCGCAGAGGCTCATTAGATAAGCGTCTGAATCCCACATGCGGATGGTATTGTCCATGGATGCCTCAAAACAAAGTACTCTTTGCCGAAACGTCGAAAATCACGCTTTGGTCTGCGCCAAGAAGCCGTGTACAGAACGCCACCCTGGCTCGTAGGTCGAGATGCGATGGCCACGATGGGTGCCGTGTGCTCCTGCAGCACTTGTGCTGAAGGCTGTGAAATTCTGCACGCTGCAAGCTCCGTGGCTCCTTGATCTCCTGGAACTTTACACCTCGCACGATGTCCAGCACCTGATGCAACACCCAAGCGACTGGGTCAGGCGATGCAAGTGCACAGCGGTGCCTGAACCGCGTGGGGTGTCAGCAGAACCAAGCGCGAGATCGCGGGCAAAAGGTGAACACCGATGATGGGATCTTCGGTCACGTTCTTCCACGCAACCCAGGACTCCTCCCACTGTCCACACACCCTCTATCTGGGCAATGGAAGCACATCCCATCCTTCTTCCTGCTTCTCCAGATGCCTAAACAGGTCTAAATAGGCCAACATGCCAGATTGAGTCAAGGGAGTCGATCCGGGTCATTCCGGGTTATTCCAGACATGCATTTGAGCCTTCCACGCTTGTTGTGTTGTCCAAACAAAGAGTGCCTTTCTAGGGGCCCACAAGCACTGCGATGTGGCTCCTCTGTGACTGACGCCACTGGTCTGGTTGTTGGTCTTCAAGGGCCGTAGCCCGGAACTGGGTTGTGCCGGGTTCCTTTCTTGCATGTCCTTTTGGGCCGGAACACATTGAGAACGCCACTCAAGCCCATCGTGGAATGCTACTCGAGCCATCCTGCAAGGTCGGTAGGCTGACCCCGCCGGGAAGTGCTAGGAACCCTGCTCGACTCGCTCCTGGATGAGGTTGTAGAAGCCGAGATTGCCCTTGCTGTCGCACACTATCACCTGACACGACTCGACGACTTGCCTAAAAGCCTAGCCCACACTCAAACCAGGCATGGACAAGCCACATCTTGACTGGTTGGATCCCAAGCCAGGCTGTGGAAAATGACGTTGCACTGGTTCAATTCTTCAAAAAGGATTTGCCCAGAGACGCTGTCCATGGCTTTCAACTTCCTGAAGAGAGTCACGGTCATGCGTCACAGAAGAGAAATGCCGGTGCCGAACGTGGAAAGGAGCACACAATGTCTCACGAGAATCTGGTCATAGGACAGAGTGAAGAGAAAGGATTCCATCGGCACAGCCATGATCTTCGAAACTCCAAGCTCGTGGACCTTTGCCTCGCGCAAGCATAGACACACAAACGCAGAAATGCTCACTTCTCTCTTGGCGGCTCCGCATGACTCCGACCCTCGCCAGAGCCTTCCAAACTGCCAAGAAAAGTTGCTCGCTGGCTTTGTCCTCCAAAGCGCCCAACGCTTGCACTTGCTCTCTTTTGCTTGCACCTGCAGCTTGCAGATGTGAACCGGTCCTGTGTCAGATCCAGCTTGAAGATGTGGACATATCCTTCTGAATCCTCGTGATGAACGATGGCGGGACACGGAGGCCCAATCTGCTCAGAGTTGGCCAGGCCAGGTCACGCCAGCAAAGAGCGTCGGAGCCTCGCCTTCACGCATGGAAAGTGACCTCAGGCAAAGCTCTGCTATGCAACGCTCTGATCATCTCCGCAACATCACATCATGCCTGGAAGAAACTGCTGCCACTGTCTAGTCTTTACTTCATCACACCGCACCCTACATGTGCTTACGCACCACGTGAGCTACAGGAAAAGAAGGGCAGAGCAGGAAACATGTTGACAGAGTGGATGTGCCACTCTTCGATTCGGCACTTTGATTGATGGAAGTACTGGGCCTCAACATAACCTAAGATCCACAACCCTTTGCTAGCGGATGGCTGGCTTCAAAATGAGATGTGCTATCAGCCTTCAGACTTGAAGCCAGGCCCGAAACCCAGCGCCCCCTCATACCTTGGAGAAAGCTTCCGCATCTGGGATGCTGGGAGCATATACGGCATATACGTGTATACATCTCCAACACCATAACGAATTCGGCGACAACCAACACCAGAAGATCAGCAGCCTCCATCGCAGTGCAGGCAAGAAGCAAGAACCAAGTTTCCTGGCCGTGCAACAAATCGCAGATTGTAACTTGCCGCCTAAGGCCGCCTAAGCCTAAGCCTACAGCTGGCGACGCCTGGAGCCTGGGCCTCCCCTCGGCTTCGCTATGCTTCGCTCGCTCCTTCGCTCGACTCCCGTGCGGCTCCAGGCGTTGCCGGACTGCGTAGGCCGGGAAGCGCAGCAGCCGCGCAGGACTCCTCGGCAGGGGCCCTGCAATGGCCCGAAACATTTTAGGTTTAAACAACATCGTCTTGTAATTGGACCCTGACGCATCGCGCCAAACGAAGAGCAGCCCATCAGTCGAGGAACTGCGCAGGGCAGCCGGCCAAGGCAGAGGTTTCAAGCACTCAAGGGTGCCTCAGGAGAAGGTCCGAACCATGCTCAAGTGCGATGACGGTTCCTCCGTGACCGTACAGGCTCTGTACCTGCATGACTTCCAAAGTGCGTAGACCACACGGTGACTAGCGGGCTCTTCTTCAGGACTCTCACACCCGCTCTTACACTTACACAACAAAGCAGCCGTCATGAAGGGATGAAGCTGAGCACCAAGCACACTGAATGCCCGTCCTTGGATCCGAGAGGTCCCACCTCAGCTCGGACAATAATGAGGTACATACTGGTGCACTTGCCATGTACAGAATCCGAGATGCATCTTGATGCACCGATCCTTGGGAGAGCTGCAACACTCATGCTTTCATGCTCACATGCCCTGATGACTGGTGGGGTGGAAGCGTCTGCGGCGCCGGAGATCACCACTCCCTGCAGGTATCTTCCAAAGAGTGCAGGATGATTTGTCAGATTTTGTCTTCGCCTGGCAGAGACTCTCCACGTAGAGAAGGCAGCGCACATCCCCTTTGTGCTCTTCGAGGACTCGAGCTTTGCTCTCTTTGGCCCTCCGGTCGGCACAGTTTCCTCGGCTAGTCGAGCGGGCTGCGACGCGGGCTTCACGAACAGAGCTGTCCCTCCGAATCCACTCCAAGTCCGAGTTTCGATCGATTTCCCAAGCCAGGATCTTTCCATCACTGAGCCCTGCAAAGAGCAAACCTCTCTGGGCGACGACCAAACAGCAGCTGGCTGTGGCTCCAGCTGAAGAGCGCCTTAGACGGAGTACTCACTGCCACTGCATAGCCCCCGCGTTTTTCCACTGCGTCGCCACTGCGAGTCCAAGGCACCTGGACCGTTGTGTGGAAAGCGGCGAAGAAAAGCTGCAGACGGAGCGAAACTCGATGGAGGTCATGACCGACCAGGCAATGACAGAAGTCTCGCCATCATGCTCGGCCTATGACCGGCCCCTCCGCTGTCAGATCTCCAGCTACATGCGTTCATTCATACAGCATTGCGGCATTGCATGCGCTGCCAAACTGGTGTCCCTTCTCCCATGATCTGAGGAGGTAGAGCTGGTCTTAACTGTATCAGGGACGCGGCTGCGGAGTGTGCGGCTGCAAATCTTCTTTGTTCCACTTACTTTGGAGGTCCCATAACCGCGCATTGTTCCCTGCCCAACTGTTAAGAATATAATGTCGCTACAGTCGAACCGACATGTGCTTCGGCCGGTAAGTACAGCGAATCCTCTTTAGCGATGCAACACATGTCTGCCCACGGCGTAGGGCGCTCCCGAACTTTGTCGCCCAGGTCAACATGCCGCTTTGAGTGCTTCGCACATCTTCTGCAGGCTGATACAACTGTTGCTCGATGTTTGCTTAGCAATGCATCGGAGAACAGTCGCCGATTTTTTGCAGGAATGGTCAACGTTGTCCGCTAGGGAAAATCACTGACACCTGACTGGATACCCCTAGATGAAGAAAATTAAACTCAAAAGTGGCAAGTGCACGCCTGCTCATGCCCTGATGGGCAGAACAGCGAAACTCGGAGCATTCGTTGAGAGCGCAGGGATGCGCAGGGTCAACAACAACTTTGCATGAGTGCACGGATGACGTGACACACATGAGAGCTCGGGCATTCTGTGAAATCACACAAGGGTCTCCTGCAGCTCCTGCAATCACATAGCGACAAGGCACCGCAGATGCACAGCTGCACATCTGCACAATGTAAGGCACGGCCTCACGGCACAAGGAGGGATCGAGGATGCGGCGCTGCACCTCATGGCACAGAGCAGTGAAGCCGATTCCAAGAGGCTGAGGGCATCGCGTAGCATCGCATAGCTACATCGATTGTTGATTGGAGCCTCGCACGCCTCCCATGACGGACTCCCGACCTCAGTGACCGAAAAAAATGGCAACTGCTTTCACAGGGCTCAGAATCTTCCGCGCCTCTCCGTGCATGGAAACCACGTCCTGGTTGCAGATGCTTTCCTGTCAGTCCGGAAGCAGGCTGCAACAGCTAAATCGGCAACAGAAGGGCCTTGTCCACAGCCGGGCTCGTGGTGGACAGCACCCAACTTGTTGTTCGACAGATCGAGGCCGTGGGGACAGAGACACTCGTCGGCCTGTTGCCAGCTCCCGTCATGGCGTGAAACTGGTGAACCACTCAGGGCTGGTGCATGGAGGAGGCTGAGAATAGAGATGCCTTATGTTCCCGCCAATTTGCACAGGCTTCGCTTGAGGGACCTTCTGTGTAAGATGCTGACCACTTCAACTGGATCCTCGGGCCACCTGCAGTGGCACTGCGAGCAGGCACGGCCTTCGCGAGCTCGGCTTTAAATCGAAGCTGCATTGCACTTGCCCTGTCTGCGAGCAAGGTGGGCATATGGTGGACCTCAGACTGAAGCAGAACAGAGCAGAGAGCGAGAACGCTTCAAGAAGGAAAAACCTGGAGTGGCCTGAAGCTTTCAGCTCCGAGCCTCCGAGCCCCGAATTTCAAGCCGCTTCACACTTGTCGCTCTGCCCGAGCTCCCTTGTCTTCCCACTCGCTTCAACCGCCCCTCCCTGCCAGCCTTCTTGCCGACTGTTCTTCCAATGTCTTCTGTCTCGGTCCATTGTCTCCCAGGCATAGAAACCATCCATTTCAGCTACGACTGCCGCTGCTGATTTTGCTTGGTTGCATTGCGTGGAAACCACCTGAACTTCAAAACAGATTGTATGTTTGCCACTCCGCGTTGCATGCCTACCGGTTGTTTCAGTTGTTTCTCGATAGTGCAGAAAACCACCCTCTCTCAACTAAAGAAACTCCTCAGCTTCTGCATGATCAGTGCTGTTCTTTCAAGGAAAAAAGATCACGGAGAAGCATGACTGATTCCGGTTCGGCCGGCCGCCCCCCTACCCCCCCCGCCCCAATGGTTGGCGCCCCTCTCCCCCCGCTGTTGGGTCTGCTTGGAGTTCCTCCGCCCCGGTGTGGTGTGGTGTGGTTCGCGGCTCGGGTCGCCCTGGGTGTTTCAGAAGCGTCGTCATCATCATCATCATCATCATCAACGACAACATCCTCATCATCGTCATCATCATCATCATCGTCATTGTCACATCGGCATCCTCCTCACCATCATCATTATCATCATCATGATGCTCCTTTCTTGCGTCAACTGCCACAGGAAGCGGGCCCGACAGGAACGCCTCGTGGTGACAGTTGCATGTTCCATACCCTCATGGCAGAGTCCTGGTTGGAAAGTGTCCATTGATTGTCACAAGGATCGGGTATTTTTGGGCCGAGATCCTCGTGACAGTTGATGGCTTTGGAGCCGCCATGTGGGAGATGTACGCGCAGTCACAGGGATTCGGCACATTTGGANNGGGGGGGGGGGAAGCGGGGAACCGAGCACCGGGATCATATCAACTCCTCTTCATCCGTGTCAGTGTCGAGTCAATGACTAAACAGTTTCTTCCTTCCTGTCCCTGTAAGAATGTGGCTCCTCATAGCAAATGTGGAAGCAATCTCCATGTCTCGTTATGCTTCAAGGGAAAATGTTGACGACGTCATATCTTCAGCACATGTGCTGTTCACTTAACAAGATGCAAGAGAACTCCTGGTTCCCAACATAATGGAGCCACGTTGCACCGGACCATACAGCGGCTCCGTTGCCCCGTACTGCTAGCCACAAATGATGACTTTTCTCTTCATATCCCCATAGCAAGAAAGGGAAACGCTTCTGTTTCTCACTATGCTTCAGAAAAAGCAGTAAGACAGTTGATTCACATCTTGAGCACAGTTGATCATAACTAAAACTATGAACGACGGAAACATGAGCACCACTAGTAACTGAAGCAACTAATTAATCATGTATGTAACACAAAGGAAACAAGCATTTCCCCATTACTGCTGGATTACAATCTGAAGGCCATCTGTATTTCAACATTCAAGAAGACAAAGCTAACAAGCCTCGTCCCCAGCTTGAGAAGATACAAAACGAACTGATGCACTCGAAAATCACTGTGTTTGACTTGCAATGGCAGAAGTCCCTAATCTCTGTCTACACCAATCTGGGGAGCCTTTTCCTCAATGCGGAAATAAACAGGAACTCGACAGTATCTAAATACGATGGAGAATTGAACAAACGTGTTTACACAAGACGTGCTGAAGCATCCCAGCACAGACACTTTTGAGTAGCACATGTAATCGGCACGAAACAAGCACAGCTTTTCTTTCTTGCGATATGTCATCAAGGAGCATGTCCAGTTTTCTGCTGGACGGTATGCGGACCCTCTGTGTTTCAATGATGCAAACAAAGCTACACAGCCCCGTCCCCACCGTGAGAAGAAATACAAGAACTCCTTCACTTCATAATCAGAGGTAGATTAACGTTAGTTTAGTTTATGAATATGTAATGTGATAAGTCCTTTATCCCTGGTCAAGCGCAGGCGCTCTTCATGTATAGCAAGCCTTTCCCTCAATAAAGACACAAGAACTCGACGACTTTATCTAGGCAAGATGGAAGTGTGAACAAGTCTTTGTAAAGTGTCTACATAGAACGTTCTGAAGCACCCCAGCAGAGACACATTTCAAGAATACATGGAATGCGGAACATGCTCCAGCATTTTCACATACACGAACATGATACGGACAAAATGAACACACGCACATCATGTACTAGGACTCAACAGAATTCTTAAAAAGAATAACAACTAATGCCAGCAACATGGTGTCCCACTTTTATGAATCTACAATAGCTATAATTAGTTTTTGCTTTGCCAAAAATTCCACGAAATCCTGGCATTCATGGGGGTGCGGGGCCACATTTGCTGAGGTATTGGGAATCTTGGGTAAATCTAAGCCTGCGGATGTTTTCGCGCTTCCGGCTCGACAAATTGTGGGGAAATTCGAGCCTGTTCCGGCTTTACAAATGTTGGGGAAATTCGAGCCTGGCGATGTTCTCGCAACCTGTAATATATCCCCACCGCCATCACCCACTCCGCTCAAAGGAAGCGGCTATGGATCACAGGGGGGTGAGCGCATATATATATATACATATATATGTGTGCGTGTATATATATATATGTATATATATATATGTATATATACATATATACACACACACCGAATGACACAGCCTACTGCTATCGACGGTCAACTAAAGCGAGCTGCAGACTTGCAACCGACAAGCAGGTTCATCAACGCTACAGTGCAGCTGCGACTGAGTTGCAGGCGGTCGGACTCTGTATAATTTTTGGCTCGTGCCAAGAACTACTGGTGGCCTGGTGCGTGGATGTGCTTCACATGTCAAGTTCAGCATTGACGAATGCAGGCAGGCATGGCGCAGCCCATGGCAGTGCGCCACCCTCAGGCGCAAAACACTGTCATACTGCAGCCGAAATAAAGCCTGCAGCACGACCTGCGAGTCATTCGGCTCTTCAAGCTCTTTTGCTGAATGAGGCCCGCAAATATCTAGGTATTCCCTGCAACCTCAGATAAAACTCTCTGGGAGGGGAGCTGGAATTCATCCCCTGTCTTTCCGTGGGGTGTGTCTGGGACATCATCAGTCATGAACCTTACTATGTGCTTTCTGCTGTTCTTGTAGCTATGCTGTACTTGCGTGCCAGCGGCCCCGAGGTCAGTGCAACATAACCAGAAACCTCAATGTCTCCCAAGACTTTATGGGATCTAGGTAAGGTCCTATGGGGATTCAGTACCTGAGCTACAAGTGTCATATGTTGCCATGGCCTTAACCTGACGTCTCCCAGGACTGCACCATGTTGTCCAAGAGGGCTGCGAAAGCACTGGAACTCCAATTTGGAGTACGTAGAAGGAACTAACCGTTCTTGAAGCCGCTATCATCTGCTGATTCACATGCCTATGTCCTTTCTACTTCGAAAGACTATCAAGCCGGCAAACAGAATGAATCAGACAAGGCATCGGGCAGGATGAGGACAGGTCTTGGTCCCGAATCGCAAGCTGCAGGCATTTTACACGGCTTGGATCCGCTTGGCGAAGCCCCAAGGCCCAATAAGGCCCAATGGCCACTGAAGGGCGGCTATGCACAACGACCGTTTTCTCTGCTTTGGCCTGGAAAGGCCTTCTCGACTCAATCTTCCTTCCCTTCCTGGCACCACAGGATCGGCGACAAGGACCACTCTTCCAAAACACGCCGTGCCTTGGCAGCCGCCTTTCGTCGCCAGACTGCCTAAATGGAGATGAAAAAGCAGAGATATATTGCCGCTCAAACTGTGCAATGGTCGTGCCTGCTCATGCAGCGTTGCTGCGTCGAACAACATCTGCAAGGAGAAGATCGATGCCAGGAAGCTAAAGACCTCGGCTTCACAGGGTGGCCAGTTAGAGCCTGGATGTTGGCCTGGGCTTCCAACTGTGGTGGCAATGGTCGACCTTACCCCCATCCAACTTGAATTCAGAGCCTGTTCTGTTGCGCTGAACATAGAGAACCAAGTTGCTTGGTGAATTTAGCCGTTACCATCTCGCAGGTGAGGAGGAGGTTTTCATCGCAAACACCATGGATATCCTCGTCGCTGTAGATGGTGCTGTTGCCTGAGACACAAATCCAGACAAACTCGTATCTGGATGTGTCCGGATGGGAAACGTGGAGGGCAGGGGCGATGTTTAGAGCGGCTTGGGCGATGAAGGGTCACATCGAATGAAGGCATCACTAGAACAAAAAAGGACCTGGACGAAAGGTATCCATTCCATGGTTGTTAGTTTGGAGGTTGCTCGAAACAGAAGAAGAAAATCCAACGGAGCAGAGCGCAAGGAGCGGAGGCGACGATGACACTTGAGACGATGACGCTCTAGTTGCGCTTTTTACCCCCTTCCTTAGTGTGTGAATCATCTATGTAATGCTAAAGATATCTTTAAGGATTCCTCTCAAATTGTAGATGAAGTGGATCTTGGGGGAGGGCAGTCTGGGGTCTGGAGATACGAAAAAAGTCGGGACTGGTCGTAACTGACCTGGGCCTCAACTTGGATTACTGGGATTTGGTGCTTCTGCCAGGTGCAACTGGACGGTTGTGAGACAATCAAGTTGAGATCATAACGTAGGAAGAATTGCTAGTTCCTGAAAATCCGTCGTCGACGTCATCTTGGCTTTCAGGCCGGCCGGGGAGCATCGACGACTCCGGGCGGTAACGGGTCGGCAGCTGGCCGGTGCCCGGGCCCCACGTCCGCTTCCCGACCCATTACCGACCGGGCCCCAGCCGGTCCTGCTCCCGTACGCGCCCTGCGCTGTCCCGACCCGGGCGTGACTGACCCGGTGCCTGTCTGCGAACTGAAATTTGAAAGGCTCCACCTGTGGAAACTGAGACGTGAGATAACATGTTGAACATGCGGAAATCTCGAAGATGCTACAACAAGCAAGATAACCTACGAGCCAAAACAATGCCGACAGTCAACTCTGAAATGTAGGGGTCTCATTTCAATAGAACCTGATTCCGCTTGTGAAATCATCCGAAAAAGTTATGTTTTCATGTCCTGAAAGTCAGGCAAGGGGAATATTTTCATCAGGGATTAAGTCACTGTGCCCCTGAGCTGGCAAGACTAGAGCAAACATTGGTTTCTGCATGACATGACACCGCGCACCCCGACCCTAGCCCTCTTTGCTTGTCCTGGCCTCTTCTCTTTGCTGAAATCCATCAGTGCGTTAGTTTGTTGGTGTGTTCTTTGCCTAAGAACAAGGACTGCAATCTCTGCAATCACTGAAGCCACTTCATGCTCTTGTGAATCCTCTGGGAGCAGTGGGCGGGAGGAGAGGAGCGGTCACGGGGAGTGTGTGCAGGGTCAGCGATGGTTAAGTCAGCATCAAAGTCAGACCCGAGCACTGTGAGAGGGCACAAACGGTCCATTGAGGAGGCCGGAATGTTGAAATGCCGGCTCTCACATATACAACCTGCTTGGTCCAACGACCCAAAGCATGCTACCTCAGAGAGAACTGCAAGAATACATCTCAGAGGATGTGGCCAACGTCCAGCTTGGTGAGGAAAGTCCTGCACAATTTCACAACAGCTAAAGTAGCTGAAGGCTAACATGTCGCTGCTCCATTTTGTCCTGAGAGTTGTCAGTGCACTCTCACACACGTCAGGATCCTGCGAGACGAGACTCTTGGAGTAGATGTAGTGATGCTTATCACTATTCTCGCCTCCAGCACATAGACCTGGCCGCATCCTGCCACGATCATTGCCTTGACACCTGCAAAGATGGCCATGACGACCGCGATCAGGAACGTCACCAACACCTTAGAAATCAAACAGTTCGCAGAAGTCTGATCGTGGCCGCCATCTCATTACCGGGAGCAACATGCTGACACACGTGCAACAAAGCTCTGAGGAGAAGGCGATGACTTGCATGAAAATTATGATGGACCAGAAACACAGTTCAGTGTCGTGGAAGTTGCTGCCTTTGCACGCTGCAAGTGCACGAAAGTGCCAGCTGCGCAAGCTCTCAAGCTGAGGTTGGAACAGCAATTGCAGCATTTGGAGCACAAGAGAGACAAGCGCCCCCACAACGTCTGCTCACCCTGCAATAACTTATTCCCAATGCACCAATACGTAGCTTGAGCATGGATGTTGCAGAAGGCCTGGGGCTCTGCTTCCTGCGCAATTGGCTTCGGACCGCCAAACCTCACGACACCAAAAGCAACATAGCCGCTTGAGTGCGAGCACATGCTGGATCAATTTACTCTGGGTCCCATACCAGCCATTTGCCCAAAGGCCATAGTAGAGCGTCAATGCACAGAAAGGAAGAATGAACCTTTATCAGCAGCCGAGTCATCTACCACTGTCATCTTGCTAGCATTGTGGTGATTGGATAGCCTTGCCACGTGCAACATGAAACAGCACACCAAACAACTGCGGCGTGTTCAGCCGAAAAGTTGAGAATCACCGTACATGACAAAATATTCCACTAGTTCCGACTGCTACTAGTACATGCTGGTCTACACAATGCACCCAGGATGTTCATCGACAAGCTGCAGAAGTCCAGCACACACGCATCATATCACCCCTTCGCATGTTCCTCAAATTCAAAAACCGTGTGTTTGGATTTCGTGCAGCATCTTCGCATCTGATCAGAACTGAAGTTCGATGTCATTTGCAAAGGCATAACTCATCCAGCTGTTCAACATGATGGCAGCTTCTGTTGCGAAAGGCTCTGCAATAAACACTGAAGGCACTGCGTCAGAAAACTCTCAGACCAGGCACGCGAAATAGATGACCCAGATTGTCACCCAAAGGTCCGCGACTGTGTTGAAGATGTGAGGACCTTTCTCCTCCAGCAGAGAAAGACTTCTGGGCAAAAGCCATCCCAGCGATCTGTCCTCGAAGACCGAGAAAATGGAGTCGAGGTTAGAGCTGAGTTTTGACACCTCTGGGCATGCTTTCAACATAGCTTTCTCCAAAGCCTGCTACCGCAGATTGCCACACCTCACTTCTGGCATCTTTGAGAGTATCGACGGCGGTGGGCAGAAGGTTCGAGAAGGTGCGCAGCAAATTCACCATTCCTCGCACTTGCAAGATCTGCCTCTGTCACGCGCTGCAAACAACTTGCTCACCTTGCCACGCATGAGAAATTGTGTCGGTCACACCCTCTTCTTGAATGGTCTCCTGTCCGAGAAGTCAGCTTCGAGAGCAAAAGGTTTTGATTGTCAAGTCCTGGTACAGCATGACTTGCTTCGGCTGGCTGAACAACCGATCTATCTCGGAATCCTGGGTGTTCGGGCTTTGACGTCCTGCTTTCCAACCCTCACTTGCTTGTCTGCCAAGCAGCCACGGACAGAAGGCTGACCTGTGCAACGAAACTACTACCAGCAATCGAAATTTGTTGGGTGGTGGCGGTCCTGGCCTTGCTTGTGAGCTTTCTTTTCAGCTTGTCCTTCAATGTGTCCAAGCCTCCCACGCATGCTGCTCAGAGGAAACCATGGACCGCCAGCGAGCGTTGGCCTTCACCTGCGACATCCGACGCTTTGTCCAGCGCCTTGTCGAGAAGTCCTTCCAACGCATCACCTGAGCCGGCACAAACAGAGGCGACAAAGTGCTGTTGATCTTAGCTGTCGTTATTTTGAAAAAGCCGGATGAAGGCTTATCCGACGGTCCATGCTCCCGTTTTCGGCAATGTGGGGCAAGTGAGACAGCTCGTCGGCAGTCCGTTCCAACTGGACAAAGGTTTGGATAATATCAGAACGTTTGTGCCAAAATAGCACTAACTAACTGTGACTAAATTGCGGAAGATCCTGTACAACTGTTTCCGTTACCCTTTTCAGACGGCTGGGATACACTTCGCTGAGAAGGAAGCGTCAAAAAGTGGGAATGGTTTCAGTTTCAGACTCGCGATCAGCAAGCAAGTGTGGCTTCCGGCAGCCTCCGGAGGCAGCTGCAGGCTTCGAGGCTGGCAGGACATACATTGTGGCAAAATCGAGTACAATATGCACATCTTTGCATCGCGATGTAGGTGGAATACCTTTTGTCCGTGAATCCAGCAAAATGTCAGTTCAGCTCGCCGGCAATGGCTTCAGGACAAATTCTGGGAAAATCCCAATGTACGGTATGTGAAAGCAGATCTGTGCATCAAGCGGGCTGCTCACGCTGCTTTGTGCTTGAACATACTCCAGGCATAGTGTGGTCTGCACCCCCCTTAGCTGAGGCTTTGCTTGGCCTGAATTGAAGTATGCAACACATGTAACACAAGGACCTCTTGTCACGATTGGTGGCGCATGACTAAACTACTGTTACGGTTACTCTTTATCTTCCTTCTTGCTGTGGCACAGGTGATGGCGACGCGAGTCGACGATCGGGTCATCTTTGACATCATTCTCAACATCATCATTGTCGCCGGCAAGGATGATTCGCTTTGTCGTCCAACCAGTCCAATCATTCACAACTCCGGCTCAAGCATGGCATTGCTTAGCAGCTCAGCAGCGTCTTGCGCGGTGGACACCTGAAGAAACTCACAACCACATTGAAAGAGATGATCCGGATCAGGAATACATGCAAAAGCGCACCGTGCAACGTAGTCTCTCAAACTTTTGGCCACAAGATCCACAATCACAGTGTCTGTGGAACTGTGGCACCTCTAGCGAATGTTCTCTGTGCTTAGGTGAAACGATCTCTTTGGTCTCTCGGGCTGCCTAGCACTGCACGCCTGTGCTTTGTTGGGCCGCCTGGCGAGGCGGGGCATTATCAGGAATTCGACAAGGCAGGGATCTGAAGTGGGCATCCTGCTTCCCGGTTTTTGGGCCTTAGCCAAACCCGACGAAAAGGCCGTAATCGGTGAAGTGGAGTTGCGGAGGTTTATGTCCATGAGGCGGGCCTCTTTGCCGCCTGAAAGTGGCACACACAAGCCACTAGGAAGCGAAAGGCTCACAGCGCCCTCTTTTTTCTACCGCAGCTTCTGCTCACAGTCTCGAGAGGTCCCTCCCTGCGGCACGAACGAAAGACTCATCACTCAGCATGCGAAACCCTATGCTCATGAGAACTTGCACCAGTAAAACCCCTGAGTCTTTCGTATAATGCGCCATCCGGATCCATCAAATCCTCCTCTTCTGCCCAGGGAAACATGTTCTCTACAGCAAAATGCTGTACACACAAGATAAAATTGGCCTCTACTTCTCGGATACGGCGCTCATGCTCACGTTTCGTGAGCCGGCGTCCTGCAGTGAAAGCTGGGTCGTAGACTAGCCACCACATCTGCTGCTCGCCCATCAACTGCAACAGGATCTTCTTGGCCTTGCCCTTGGTAAGGGCATCTGCAAGCTGCTCTGTTCCTGCCACCCATCGAAGACAGGTGCCAGCCGACATAGCCTGTTTCACCGCAATGGTGAGTTCGTAGCCAGCTCTGCTGCTGCGAAGGCCGTGGAGAGCACTCGTGTTCCGGGTCATGGCGTCATAGATGCCACGGGAATCCATGACCAAAGCACCGATCGTGTTGTCACGGATCAACTCATCCTGCCGTCCACGGACAGGGGAGATGCCATGTATCCCTGCCCACACACTTCGAACGAGGAAAGTGAGATCCTCACCGATAGTTATCGCTTGCACTTCGCTCCCATTGGAGCCTAACACTTCGCGAGGTGCTTTCTGGCTCCGCCAGGCGACGAGGTTCATAGGAACCCGATCGCCATCCAAGATCTGGCGGGGAGCAATGCACGAGAGCATGCCGATCGTGCTTCCCTTGTTCACGCGGTTGTTCTGCGCCGCATCCGCCCATGTGATCACCGCCAGGTCCTTCCAGCTCAGTGCAAAAGGATGAAAGATCAGGACCTGGTCCGCAGTCCGCTTGGCCTCCCGGATGATCTTGTTGAGGCGGAGGATCAGATCGATCGTCGCCACTGGGACTTCGCTCAACATGAGTCCAACATCCGCCAGGAACTGGGGACTCACCTGGCTTGCACGCCAGGCGAGCGTGCCCAAGGCACCACGGATTGCAGAGATCTCCTGGGCCGTTGCTTTAGCTCGAGGCTGAGCTGCTCGAGAAGGGCTCAAGGGGATCTCCTCCATCCACTTCTCAGAGTAGACCTTCTGGTCCATGAAGATCGTGCCATCAGGCTTCTGCTGGATATTACACCCAGCAAACTCAAAAGACGAAACGTCCCACTTGCCCCACTCGAAGGCCCGTTTCAGACTGTCTTTCGCCTTCAAGAAAACCTGGCTCTTGTCATCGCCGCCAAGAATGAAGTCATCGACGTGGCAGCCAGCAATGCCAACCAAATGCCCTGAAGCGTCCAAGAGCACAAAGAGGCACTTGTCGTACTGGAGCTGCCGCCACCCGGCCTTGACCAGCGTCTCGGAAACGGTCTCAAACCAGCGACGAGGGGCGTGACAAAGTCCGTAAAAGGCACGCCGAAGTTTGAGGACGGTCAGGTCATCGGCGCCGCTGCCGCCGAAAGCCGCCCCAAGTTCAGCAGGTGCTTGCACGAACAGCTCTTCCTGCTCCAAGTCCTGGATCGCCTGCAGAAAAGCTGATGCCACATCTGCTGATTCGAGCATCCAGCGATTGTTGGCAACAACAGTCAACAGGATAAGTTTTCCAAGCTTCGAAAGCGTAGGTGATGACGCTTGCGTTTCAACGAGGTTCGGGGCTTGAAATCCAAGGACGACTAAACGAGCCTTAGCCCGTCCATCACTCTTGTAGGTAAGCACCCACCTCATCTTCATTACGCGCCGCCAATCAAGCTTCTCCTTCTCGGAAGCGATAAGGCTTCGGACCGCGGCATTCTTAATGACATTCGCGATCTCCTTGCTTTGCGCTTCGTCGAAAGCCTTCTTTTCCAGTTCCGACAAGCTGCGCCAGTTGACCTCCTTGCCCTTCTCCTGAAGCTTCTTTGACAGCCATATAGAGGGATGGCGAGGCTTGTTAGCCAAGGTGACCACATCATGGGGAGTTACCTCCATCTCGAAGACATAACCCATGTGATCTTCAGCTTCAGGAGGAGACTTTCTCTTTCGGTCTGGCAAACGAGGTTCACGACTCTCGCCCTGCGCAGCGTCCTGGTCGGGGATCATCTCCTCCTCGGAACTGTCCTCGACAACGGAAGTCTCAGCATCAGAGGCCTCGACAGGGATGGTGGCTTCAGTGCGCTTGTCATACATGAACTTGTTGCCACCAGCATCCACATGTGGTAAACGATGACCACCCGGAAGAGAGCAACCTGGAACCGCGCACTGTGGACCTGCCTGTGACCCACTGGCTTCTTGAAGACCACGAGGCGTACCTGGAACTGGAGTACCTGGTGTTGGTGTGCCAGGAACCAGACGACCAGGAACTAAGACATCATCTTCTAAAGGACCACGAGAGGATTCCGGTTGATCTCGACGTTCAGCAGAAGCTTCTTGTCCTGCGGGTCTAGCCGCTTCGCTAGCTGTTGTCTTCGAGCTCTTTGGTAGTGCTTCACGTTGAGAAGGCCTTTGGGACCGTCGCTTAAGCGAAGAGGATTCCGGTTGATCTCGAGGTTCAGCCGAAGCTTCTTGTCCTGGGGGTCGAGCGCTTTGCACAGCAGGATGATCGGGCTTGATGCGATACCTGGTCTCTCCTGTCCAACGGTCAAGAAGACACCGTGCAGGGTTCTCGTGAGTCTTGAAGTTGTCTTTCAACTCCTGCACGTTGCCACCGCTCTGCACCAGTGTGACGCGCTCCCCAGACAGATCCTCTTCCGCAATGGGGATGTTCTTCATCTTCGACGGTACCAACATCGCCAGCCGTGGCTTGACATGAAAACGCACAAGCCACTCACCTTGAACCTCCCAGTAATCATCATCACGACGAACACGAGGTGGAACAGCGACGTTTCCTTGGGCAGTGTCTTCCACAGCAGCTCTCGGAGGCATCTGCCCGGTAACATCTTCGTACTGCTTGCCACGAAAGCCGCGCATCAAAGTTTCCAAAGTCACCGACATCCGATAAACAGCAGCACCACTGGCAATCGCCGTCGTTTCTTCAAAACGGGAGCCCTCAACAACGCAGCACCGGAAGCCGACCAGTAGGTGGAGCCTTCACGAAGGAGGACACGAACAGGTCCTTGCCAACCGCCTTTGCCGCCAGAGCGCCGAGCTCTCCAAACCATCACCAAGGTCCCGGGCTCGAAGATCTGTGGAGGTCTGCTGCTTGCGTTGTTGAGCTTGCTCATTTGATCAGCTGCTTGAGAGCGACGATAAGCAACAGCGGCTTGTTCTCGGAACTTGAGCACCTCATCAAAGGCTTTCATTCTTAGGGTTGGCACCTTCGGGAACCATGTCGGAAGGAATGGCTCCACGAACCCACTGGAAAGGGGCATATCCAGATTGGTGCTGGATGGTGCTGTTGTGGGCGTGACACGCATAGTGGAACATGGAGATCACAGACAGGTCAGGGTCCTCCTTGATCATCCTGTCCACCGTGGCCTTCAGACGTCCAATCAGCTGCTCTTCATGACTCATCACCCAGTGGGCTTCAGGAGGAGCGATCATCAACCCAATTCCGCTTTTACCGCAGAACTCTCGCAACTCTTCTGATGTATAATACAACGCAGAGT